GTATATATATATATATATATATACGTGTATATATATATATATATATATACGTGTATATATATATATATATATACACACATATGCCACTAAATAGTGCAAGTTAGATATTATTGTAATGTTTCGGACCTTTGCCCGAGGAGATTTTCTCAATCTGGATCTTTTGGAATTTTAGTTGAAGACCCCTGATCTAAACGGTGATTAGTTATGTGTGGCACATGATTGCTTGGTGGGTTAGGGTCATCTGTGTAAAAGAGGTGGGATCCAGGTACATGCTGAGCGAGACATTCTGCAATGCAAAGAGAAAAAAACTCCAAACTGTAGTGTTAAAACTAAAATAGCTCAAACCCCGCTGGACCACGTGTGCTCACAGTTCAGCACACGTGTGAACCGTGGATTAATGACACAGTGAAGTCAAGTTTTACTGACACCAATGTTCAGTGAAATATTTGATCAGGACATCATTGATGCTTTCTGTTCACTGATGTCTGATAATGTGACATTGTTTTAAAGTGACTGGAGGAGAGCTGGTGAAGTGTCTCATGGACAATGAACCAATGCTGCGTTCAGATCTCATCTGTTGAACATGGAGACTAGACGCATGAATCACCCGTTAGTCCTGTCACACCTTCGATTCTTCACCTTGGGCTGCAAGAAATTGTAACGGGCAGATGAAACTATTGATTAATTGTGAAAATAATCAGCAAATTAATCAATTATGAAAATAATGATAGATTGTTTGTGTATCACATGTCCCATGAATAGGCCTGCTTTTACTTTGTCCTGTGTGCTACTCCATAGGGTGGGGGGGGGAGAGAGATATATTAAACCCCCTAAATAATGACCAGTGTGTGGGAGTGTCCATGAGTAACCCGTCCTGAATCTCGTCTCCACAGGTGGATGGCAGCTGGACCCGTGATCCCACCACCACATGGCCCCACGTGGACGATCCCACCACCAGAGAGCCTCGGCTGGACGACTGCGAGCGGATGGGCACTCTGTTCGGGATGCTCAACAAGTGCCTGCGGGGGATGGGCTTCAGCCAGATGTACTTTGGGGACAAGATCGTGGAACCGGTAGTGATTGTGTTCTTCTGGCTGCTGCTCTGGTTCCTGGGCATCCAGGCCCTGGGGCTGGTGGGGACTCTGTGCATCATCATCATCTACATCCAGAAGTGAAGAGAGCGGGCCATCCGAGCGGAGCCTGCTGGTTTGCTTTGTTTGACGCTTAACATATGCAGGATGTCATGCTAACGGCTGTTTGGATTGGAATCTGCAGTGGGTCTGTGCTTTTAGGGGGGGCAGCTGTGGAGGGCTGTGCTCTGTAGTGATGCTGGGGAGCAGGTTTCTAGACTGGTTAGAAGCGTGTTCAGTCTTGAGTAAATCCAAAGCTGGGTCCTTTCTTCAGGGTTGTCTGGGCGCTGCCGTCTGACTTCATGGTATTGATGAGCAGATCTAAAGGAATGAGAGGCTGCAGAGTGATCCCAGCTCTCAGGGAACCTCTCTGTGTTCACACGCTGAGAGACCTTCGCCAACATGTGGCGTGCATACGAATAGTAATATGACTCCAATAATCAATCATAACAAAAGGTGTCGGAATCTAAAGCTGAGTGTTCTTGTGAAAGCTTTTTGCTGTAAAATGTTTACTTTGTAATAGATTACTGATGATGACTAGTGGAGCAACAGATCATGAAAGTCACATTTCAGATCGAATCAAATTTCAGATCGGCACAAAAGAAAAAGGGGAGCAGATCTCTGAACATGTCTTTTTGCCGTTGATACTAATTGCAGATCATTGATGATCCATATTGTTGTTTAAAATCATTTCAACTGATCTGAAGTCTGTAAACAATCAAAAAGTCTAAATGTCTACTTTGTTTTAGTCATATATAGTGTTTTTTCATAAAGGATTAGGAAATAAAAGATTGTATTTTCATTGATTAAAACAAACTTATTAGTAGTTTAATGATGTATTATAATCTGTTTATAGCTAATGTAAACAGCTCATGATTCATCTCTAATATCTATTTATGTTGTTGTGAAAACGTCTCCTTCAAACTGCATTTATTCAAGTTTATCATCAAAACTACATTTTACAGATCACATGTGAACACATCATGACAACGTTATAATCTACCTTCACCCAGTACTCATTTAACCGAACAGAGACTGAACACATCATAATGTAACTGAAGTGAAGCTTTGTTCTCCTGTCAATTTAAACACCTTTTGTTTTTTACAGTGACTAAAAAAGCTTAACTGATGTCCTGATCACATATTTTGTAGGGGTGGGAATCACCAGAGATCCCGTGATACGATATTATCACGATACTTTGGTCACGATACGATATTATCACCATACTGCGATATTATCACGATACTGCGATATTCTGAGTATTGCGATAACATAGGCCTATATTGCGATTTATTACTTTTTTCAACTTCAAATTATGTCCCCAAAGGAAAACGGTTGTCATGTTTTATCTAATAAGATAAAGTTTTCAGTCTGTTCATCTCACTTCAATCATTTTTATTGCAGCAAAATAGGGTTGTCAAGCAGACAGACTGACCAACAATGTCATAAATGTTGCATGAACCTGACAAACTGAATGTATTAACATAGTCCAACTTAACTAAATGCAAACGTGTGGACTCAGTATATGAGCTATAACTTATGTATGTAGGATATCAGAGTTATATAACTCAGTATAACTTGCGATGCGTGGACGTCGAGGGCAGAGAGACAGTTATGCGCTGCACTCTCCCCATGAGCCTGGCTACTGTTGGCAGATTTAACCCCGTTGTGAGGCCAGATGTCTCCAACTTTGTTTTGACCAACTTCCTACCAATCACGCTGACCCGGGACCTTTGCTGACCTCACCAGAAAATAACTCGGCACCATCTAGTGGACTGAAAAAGCAATTGATTAGATTTTTCTAGTAATTAGGGCCCGAGCAACCGACAACGTCGGGCCAGCGAAGGCCCTATTGAAATTGTACTCGTTTGGGTAAACGTACGCATGGTTGGAGGACTTGCCATGCATGAAAACTCACCAAATTTTGGGTACTTGTCAGGCCTGGTGAAAATAGCCATCTGAAAAAGAATGCATCTTTCTGTGTAAAGAAATGGCTCTCTAGCGGCCCCTACAAGTCGGACCGGCGACACCCCTCGGCCAGTATGTCCGATTGACTTGAAATTTGACACACATGTCCACTTGAGCTAGAGCTACAAAAAAGCCACTCACACCCCTAAGCTCCGCCTACTTAGATTTTCCACCATATTGAATTTAGTGTAAAACACATTTCTGCGAACTCCTCCTACATGCTTAGTCCCATTACTACCAAATTTGCTGTGGATCATTACTGGATCTACGTCATCAAAAGTTATCAAAAGCTTTTTGATATCTCTTTTTGTGTACAAGATATGTACCAATAAACTTCTTAGGGGCATGGCTTAATATCAAAACATATAACTTCTCAACCATTTGTCCTAAAATTACCAGATTTTCAGCATATGTGCACATCGCATCCTCCAACATACTCTGAGATTTATTTTGCATTCAACCACTAGGGGGCCCTACAGTAAACCCTCGAAGTTGTGCTTTTTGTCACTTTTTGCAGATTTCAGCCTTCGCACTTTAACGAACTCCTACAGATTTTAAGCGATCAACTTCTACTTTGGTCAGGATGCTCTTAAGACCTTTGTGATTAAAAGTTATCAAAATCGAGAGTTTTCATCGAAGAACCTTGACGTGGCGTGACGGCCATTTTGCCTCATTGTTTATGAAAAAATAAGTTCTTATAAGTTGTTATAACTCCAAGGTACATTATCCAATCCGCACAAAACTTATTTTGCATGATGCTACTTCAAGCCTAAACATACTTCAATTGGAAAAAAATTCAATAACTCATAGCGCCACCTACTGGCTAAAGGAAATGTCATATTCTATACTTTTATTTATACCTCCTAGCCAGGTAACCTCTGATTAGTCTAAAATTTGGTAAGGATAGCCTTAAGACATTGATGATGCATCATCATGAATATTGTGAGTTTTTGTTGAACGCTGTTGCCGTGGCGACGCATCGTTCGCCATGAAAAAGGAAGCTGATGGTTTAGTGGGTTGGGATGCTCAAAAACTCATGGAACGTTGTACATGTGTCACAGGGCATATGAAGAAATAGTTTATATGACTTTCTTTATTGGCCGTTTTAAATTGCCTCTATAGCGCCCCTTACAATATTTCAAAAGAGCAGCCCCAGCGCTACGTTTTGGCTACATATATGAAGCTTGGTAGGCACATGTGTCCTATGGAGACTTAAAGAAAAGTCTCTTGGGACCATGCTCCAAACCCTACAGGAAGTCGGCCATTTTCAATTTTGTATGAATTTATACAATATTTTGACGATGCAGCCCTCGCAGTACGTTTCACTATCTATATATAAAATTTAGATGTATAACATTTGGTAAACAGATGTATCACATGTAGACTTACAAAAAAGCCCCGGAGCTCTAAGCTCTAAACCCATCGGAAGTCAGCCATTTTGAATTTAGTGAAAGAAAACACATTTTTGCGAACTCCTACACGCTGGCTCCGATTTCTACGAAATTTACTGTGGATCATAATTGGATCTAGATCATCAAAAGTTATCAAAAGCTTTTTGATATCCATTTGCGTTTATAAGATATGGACCAATACACTTCTTAGGGGCGTGGCAAAATACCAATACACAACTTCTCAACCATTTTTTCTAAATTCCCAAAATATTCAGCATTTGTGCATATCACATCCAGTAACATACCCTGAGCATTTTTTTGCATTCGACCACTAGGGGGCACTACAGTAAACCCGCGAAGCCTACTGGCTAAAGGAAATGTCTGATGTAACTCAGCTGGACTTGTTCCAAACGGTCCCAAACTTCACATGCTTGATAACACTCATGGCCTGATGATGTCTACAAGCAAATTGTCCCTAATACTCACAGCGTCACCTGTTGGCGAAAGGAGATCTGCGTTTTTTGACAAACACCATCCGATTTACACGACTTTTACACAATGTGGTTTACACTTGATATAGAGCTACATAATGCACGTGTTCTGTAGCGCCAGGCAGCGGATACAGGAAGCATCGGACTATTTGCAAAGCATCATTTCCAGCATCAGGCGGTCCACGCGGGATTAAAAACATCTCACTCGCGGACGCGATGTCCGACGGTCGCGGAAGTTCTCGGGCCAGAGTCCCGCCGGCACCCCCGACGCGCTGGAGGATGCGAGGGCCCATTCATCGCTGCTCGCAGCTTTCATTTTTTTCTTTTTTTTCTAATATTTCATATAATAAAAGATCGATACTTGGCGTCCGTGTATCGATACAATATGGCCACGCAAACAGTTGCGATACTATGCTGTATCAATTTTTTTCCCCACCCCTAATATTTTACTGAATATTGGTGGATAGCGATGTCAGCAAAACTTAGTGTTAAACTGTCATTAATCCGCGGTCCACATGCGTGCTGAGCTGTGAGGGGGGTCGTCTGGTCCGTTCCACCACTACTGATGAATGAGATAATGTAATTGTTGGATTTGTTCCAATGGTGGAATTCCAGCCGTTAGTTCCATCCAGTTCTGCATAGACATTGTGCAATAGCTGTGGAGAGGGATGCCATCGGCAAAACATGGTCCTTAATGGTGATGGTTCTAGATAAGGAAGCCATCTTGGCCGCGGTTACACTCGTCTTTTCAACGCAGATTTTGTGATCGGACCGATGTGGGTCCAGACTTGACACTTCAATGAGAGCTGCCTGAGCGGATTCATTTAGTGGTCAACGGACCGTCCGTAAAGCGGTGGATTAACACACACCGTTTCCTAACAAGTCTGCACAATAACATTATGTTGGTATGTGAAGGCTTTTCATCAGCAGTAACTCAACACAACCCTCCACCTCTCCTCCCTTTGCGCTCTTCTGGAGAGGAACTCCCATGTGGGAGGGGAGATGATGGGGACATAAGTTTGATGAATTGTCCACATGCTGTCCACACCATGTTCAGATCCCAACTCAATGCAGGCCAGGCCACCTCGGCATGTGGTCCAGCTGATCGGATGACAAAAGCACCAAAGAGACAAGCGTAACCACGGCCCTCTTCTCTCTCACTCTCTGCTCTGTGGGCCTCCTCCACATTACCGATCCTGAAATCACACACCGCTGCATCGCTGATAGATGGAAGCCCTCATCGTTTCAAGGGACCCGACACAAATGTGAATGATTTCTCACATTGAAAGATAAATTGATGACCTGAATGTGTTCTCATGGAGCGACAGAACTAAAGCTTTATACTGGAAACCAAACGTGTGTGTAGTCTTCCAGTTTATCTCTGCTGCTGACATTCAAATGTATTATGCGTAGAGCCAATCAGTATACTGGTAGCATATCAATATTGTCATATCAGACTAGATATTGTTTTGGGGTTTTGGTTATTTTGTGAAATTCATTTCAGTTTGCAGACTACGTAGCATTAGTTGTTGTCTTGACCTGTCATGTCAGTTTAGTTGCGTGCCATTAACACAAAATGCCTCGTCTATGAATCATATCAGATTGTCGTCCTCTGAGGCTGATAGAATATCTAGTGGAAGCCTCCTCAGGTTAGTCTTTGAATGATTATCAGTCACCCACATATTCAACCTTTTCTGTCAGCTACTTCCATTCACTGGCAACGTTTCCAGTCTACACTCAATACCCCCACAATAACAAAGCCAGAACAGGATTTTACAAATATGAGCGAGCTTATTAAAAAGTATTCAGTCTTCACTCAGATGAAGCACCTTTGGCAGAGATGTCAGCCTCACCTGGATTTGGGGGATTTCTGCCATTCCTCTGCAGAACCTGTCGGGCTGTGTCGGGTACGCATGGACGCCCACGTTCAGGTCTCTCCAGAGATGTTCGATGGGGTTCTGGCTGGGCCCAAGAAGACATTCACAGAGTTGTCCCCTAAGACACTCCTGCGTTGTCTTGGCTGTGTGCTTGGGTCTCTCTGTACTCTCTGTTCAGCTGCCCCAGTCCCTGCCGCTGGGCTTTATTTTTGGGCAAGTACTCTGCAAACTGTCGGCTGGTTGGTTTGCGTACAACGCACGGAGCGGACCGTAAAGAGGACAGAGGCCGTGTGTCGCAAACTGCCTGTAAAAGCCCCAAATGTCTCTTAGATCGATGCCCCGACACAATCATGTCTCTGGGCTCTGCAGCCGGTTCCTCCCACCTCACGCCTCATTTCTTCTTTTTTTGCTCTGATGTCTTTGAAAGACAGGTGTGTGAATTTACCACAGGTGGACTCCGATCGAGGTGTAGAGACATCTCACTGATGATCAGGAGGAATGAGGTCTGAATACTTCGGTCAATACCATATTTCAGTTTTTTTCTTCTTAATTCATTTGCAAAGAAAATCTAATCTCCTGTTGTGGCTTTACTGCATACTTTGTTCCAAAAATAACACAAAGGCATAGTTATTAAAGTAAGTAAGTTTAGGCTTTGCCATTGTGGGATGTTGAGTGTGGAACACATTTAATGATTTTAGCATACGGCTGCAACGCAATAAGAAGCGTGAGGGGTGTGTAGATACTTTCTGAATGCTCACCATCAACATATATCGAATAAAACCATTTCACTCAGAACTGTTTGATCCAACGTGAAACAGCACTGCTCAGGAGAAATGGCTGATGAGGCAGGTTGAAGGGAGTATCTGAAGTTGGATTGATTGGACCTTTTCATGTTCCCGGTGGTCTCAGGTAGTTTTCACATATTTCACTCTTCTACTACTTTGTATTGTTTGGATGTGCAGGTTCACTGACCACACACTGTTGTAGAACTGAACTGAACTGTAACCATCCCGCTGACTTTAAACATCACTGACTTTACTGTAGCATGTGTCCTCCTTTTAGGAAACTCTAGGAAACATTATTTTCATGAATCATAAATGATTGTTTCTGAGGTGTGTCATGCCTACCTACGAAAGAGATGTTGATTCACAATGTGTTGCGACGTCAGTCTGTATGAACTGTGCATTGTAGATTTAAAGCACAAGTTCACCCACAAAAGGACCGTTTGTATCTGTTACTCACCACGTGTCACCTTGATTTCTTGAAGAAAACTATAAACTGAGTCTTGGATTATACTGACTGAGTTGTGTGAGACCTTGTAAACGGATGTTCTGATGTAGTTTTGCTGTTAAACGTGTTTCATTCAAAATCAGACTCCAGTACTAGTGCAGAAATATTAGCAGCAAAATGTCATTGAGATTACCTAAAGGAAAAGTCAATATGCATTGAAATGTCCGCAGTAAGTGTTACATCATCAAACAGTATGAACCATGTATAAACGTTTGTTTTCCATAGATTATTTTCTTGAATAATCCAGAAACCAACAGAGAAATCCCATCGGCCTTTTGTGGAGGGAACCAGTGTGAGGCTAACTTCCTGTCGGCCTGCATTAAAATACATCATCCCTGCAGCTCTCTATTGTCTCCACTTCCTGTAGCACGCACGCACTTCAAAATGTCTTTGAAAACATATGATGTATAATCATATGCCAAGAAAAAATAAGTTATTAATTTGTTGTATTATCAAATTTTTAACACATTAACACCGAAAAAAACATTTCTGTCAGACGTTTTTTTCAAATATTGTCTTCGGTTCTAAAAATTGACAAATTGATGAGAGAAGGGCAAATAAATAAGGAGAGGGGATCAGGAGGAAAAGCATCTGAAGAACAGTTTATAAAATGAGAGGAATGCCTCGCTGCTAACAAGGTGGCTACTTTTTACAGTGGGCACATGCATGTACTCTCTGGAACGTCTGCGTTGTTTGTTGCACTTTGCCAGCACCAGGTCGACATTGAAGAGACTCATAAAGATGACTGGTATGACTAGTTGAGGGTGAAGCTCATGCTGACAAGATTCAGCAAACAGATACATGACATCATAGGTCGGTCAACATTGCTGACTGTTGCAATTTGAGCGTGTCTGCACGTAGCTAATCCTACTGAACATACAAACATTCACAATCATATACATGACAGTGCATTAGCAGCTTAAAGGACTCCAGAGGAATATCACTTACTTAGCTTTAGTACAAACACAATGAAGTGACACTATTTACATGTTTGTGCCTCTCATAAGTCCTCATGTGTGTTGGTGGGAAGGATCCTCCTACACTAAAATATATTCTGTCCACTGCACCATGAAGCAGTTTGAGTACTTCTTACCCAGGTGCTCTTCTTGTCTCATTTTGTACAACACAGGAAAAATATGAGCGTGTTATTGTGTATTAAATTAGAAAGATTAATAAGAAACAAAACTTTTTTTAAATAGTGTCATTTCCAGATGGGATATTGATTAAAGTTAAGAATGAGTTTTTCTTCATTCAGCGGACTGAATCTTTTTTCCTCCAGATGGTTTGAAGCATCTTTTAAATACCTTCAGAGGAAATGGATGGCTCTGATGTAAAGGTAACAGATGAGCGGCACAAACCCTCGGTGTGGCTGAGGAGCACTTCTGTTACACATGCGGACCAGTGAACCTCCTCACCTCAGTCTGCATTCACACCACCTACTGTATTTACAAGAGAATGTACACGACGGGCCACTCAACCCTGGGATAGATATAAGACAGGCAGGTGGGCTGTGAGTGACTCCAGAGAACAGAACTAGGTATGATAGGACCAAAATAACCCAGAACCAAGTAGTATGGAGACTCCTGCATTTGGGACTATTTGCACTCAGATCTAGAATGATGGGCTATTTGTGTGGTTTTGCCCGCAGCCAATCACCGCAAGCGTTCTTCCATTTGATACCACGTGTGATTGGCCAGCTACCGCAGCAGCTGCAACACACAGAGCTGGGATTGCTTACTCACAGCTCTCAACATGGAGGTGGCTTGTTGGGGGTGTTGGCGGTAATCCCTGTATGAGTGTAGTGCAGAGGTTTGTCAACCTAAATGAGTAATTTAAAGACATCATCTCTGGTATAATAACTTGTCATTACCAGCTGTGACAGCGTGTGGCTGCTGTTCTTTTCACCTTATAAGTGTGTGTGAGTCATCATGGTATAATGTAGTCCTGGAGACACTGGAGCAGGAACTACCACAGAGGAGGTCTTCAGTACGTGTCTGTCTGTCAGGAAACTTTACAGATGTGTAGTCCATACGAGTAGAAAGGGCCTCCCCTGTACCAGTGAAGTCGGTCTCTAGTTGCTATTTGTCAGGATTGTAGAAAATGACGGGTTAATTTACTTTGAATGAATAGAATTATTATTTACAGTAATGCGAGTAGCTGTCTTGTTCCAACAAGAGAGGGAATATATGTCTATGTATAATAAACTACTGAAACAAAATGACATTCAGCAGAGTGAACTGATCTGGAAACAGATCAGAGACCATCTGTCCTGTTTACAAATAATGAATGGAATAACATCCACTTTAACTTGCTTTTGAAGTTGTTCAGTGACCCGATGCCATCAGTGTACAGTTTGGACTGTAGCCAACCCTAAAAACTTTTATATCGCCGCTGGGGTCCGTCAGTATCCGCTGGGGTCCGTCAGCGTCCGCTGCCGCCCTCGGACAGGATGCGGCTGGGCTCGGTGAACCTGGCCGTGGCTATGTAGAAGAGGGCGGGGCCCGGCACGAGGGCCAACAGCGGCAGGTCCTGCTCCAGCTTGTCCAGTCTGGAGATGGAGACGATGCCGTACGCGTGGAGCAACCAATGGCTGAACAGGACGACCAGGCGCTTCTTCTTGGCAATCAGGTTCTTAAAAGACTGAGGGGAAGGACAGACGGACGAGCGCACACGCACACACACAGAGAAAAGAAATAGCATATTCCAACATCAGATTTAAGACCTCATTGACTTTTAAGGTAAAAATGACTTCCTTCAAAGTACAAGTGAACCTGTATGTGTTACCTGTATCTCAGAGGCAGACATGTAGACAGCCAGTGTGAGCAGAGACAGGACCAGTATGATGTAGGGGAAGGCATAGTCTGAAAGAAACACAGCAGCACAGGTCAACCTACGCAGCCCAGCAAACGCTATTTAAACTGGAATTTGGTCCTATTCGCAAGAAAACTCCTTCTCGAAGTAGGAAACATTAGCAGTTAGATGTGAAGTCGGTAGCACTCACAGAGCAGCCCTCCTCCCACGGCCTGCAGCACGGTGAGGATGGGGAAGAAGTACAGAGCAGCGTAGATGCTCCTGAAGCGATCCGACTTGCCCAGACCGCACGCTATCTTCTTCACCAACAGAGGACGCAGCATCATCATCAGCACCAGGCAGAATGCATAGTAGATCAACACTATGGTGTAGCTGAGGAGGAGAAAAAACAGTCAGTCAAAGTCACAAGAAACTGCAGGCGACATGTTGGACTCAGGAATAGCAGAAACACAGTCCAATACTTAGATATTAATGTCACATACGGTAAAACTGTGGGCTTTTATTTGCTTCCATCACTGAACCCAACCGGCACAAAGCTGTTGCTCAACAAATATGAGAAGTACCATCAAATAGTTTATTTAAACAAATATCCGGGAAGTTTTATTTTCCTTATTGCAAGATCTTTTTGAAAGGGAGTGACATATATTTAGAGCTATTTTGAATAATCCCCCTGTTGTCAGTGCTCACAGCGGGTAGACGGCCTCCTGGGTGCAGTGCAGAGTGTTGATGTAGTCTGGACTCGGGTTGTACAGCATGGTGTACCAGTCCGACAGCATCTGGACTCGACACGACTGGATACTGAGCTTTCCCACCGGCTCTGTGACCAGCAAGGTGACCACGGCCGACATGCCGCACTCCAACATGGCTGTGATGTGCTGCAGCAGAGCACTGGAACTGAAACACAGAACAGACAGAGCAACACAAGATCACACAACAGAAACACGGGTCAGTCTCTTTCATTTCCTTTTTCCATTGATATGACATTTCATGTGAAAACAAAATGGTGAAGACGCTGCATTCGCTGTGAGGCCACAGCCCTCTAAACTGACATATCGAATCCTTCTCTTTAGTATAATCAAGACGTCTAGTAGCCTAACCCTTTATGAAGAGTCCTGCTTGTACAGCAGTTATCTCCAGTGGTGGATTTACACTATGGCTTTCGGGGGAAGCCATAGTTTTTGGGGGTGCAATGAAAAAATAAACAATCAATACATTTCGACTCACTCAAAAGATAACGTACGGTGCTTAATAGAGATACAGGGATTGCCGTTATATCCACGGACACGGATCGGGGCGTAAATAAAAGAAACATTCAGAATATTAGCGAATGGGTTGCAGGTGGGTGAAATAATGCATCATAAATGACAGAAATGTGAATTAAAGTCTCTAAAAAATGAACATGGCAGAGGGCAGAGCTGCTGCTGCTCTGCGGCTACATTTTGTCAGGAAAGTGAGACACACAAAGCGCATTTGTGCACAAGAACACCAGCACAACTTCAGCGATTTCCCGTGTCAAGTTTATCTACAGCCAGGGCCAGAAGTATTTGGACTGTGACACAATTTTTCTAATTTTGCTTCTTTACACGACTCCAATGGATTTGAAAGGAAGAAGTCAAGTGTAGACTTTCAGCTTTAATTCAATGGATAGAACAAAAATATTACATGAACAATTTAGGAATTACAGCCATTTCTACACAGCCCCCCACATTTTCAGAGGCTCAAAAGTAATTTTTGACAAATGGTTTCATGGCCAGATGTGTCCTGTTCTGTCACTATTTCATGACAAATGATGCAGAGAATAGGATTCAAAATGTTGAATTAGCATTTGGTAGCTGGTCCATAGAACTCTCAGCATGCGGACCAAAAAGGGAGAGACAGCGAGATCCTTCTTGTGGCACTCAGCGGCACCCTCTGTGGCACTCAGCGGCACCCTCTGTGGCACTCAGCGGCACCCTCTGGCAGCTTGTGGCACCTACTGACATACATATACATATACATATAAGCAGAGGAAGAGTGAAGATATTTTCAGACATGTATTTTTGGATTGGACATTTTATGGGTTTTAATTTAATTTTTTTTAATATATATACTTTTAAATGATAATAAAACGGATGATTTATTTTCATTATTTTAGCCGATTGTTGTAAATGACTATAAAAGTAATAATTTGGAAAGAGTGTATTATGTTCCCTTTTGTTGCAAAACCAGCAAAATCATACTTAAATAAAATGAATGAGAAACAAAAAAGTACAACGTAATTACTCTAAGGATGCATACAGAGAACGGGTGGCTCCGGTGACTCAACTAAAATCATAAAACTGATTGACGGAAGCTGACCTGTTGTAACAACAATGTGTGTTCTCAGGAAATGTGGCTCCGCCCCCTCAGCTCCGCAGCTTCTTGACGGGTGCCGAACTAGTACCGCTCGCCTGCCACAGCTGACGCTTGCCGCTGAAGTGCCACAGACTGCCACTGAGTGCCACAGAGAGTGCCGCGGAGTGCCACAGAGTGCCACAGAGGTGCCAGTGCCACAAGAAGGATCTCGGCCCTGCACCAAAAAGGTGTCGATGCAAGTGAAGGAGAACATTATTAGGTTATAAACACTTAACAAACCAGCAGTCAGATAGCAGAAATATTAGGAATGACCAAATTAACAGTTTGGTACATTCTTAAAAAGAAGGAATGTACCGGCAAGCTCACCAACACCAAAAGGCTCAGAAGACCACAGAAGACATCTAAAGTAGATGATCACAGAATTCTTACCTTGGTGAAGAAAACCCTTCATAACATCTACTGAAGTCAAGAACATTCTGGAGGAGGTAGGAGTGTCAATGTTAAAGCCTTTGGATGGGCATGTGTGGCTGCCAATGGAACTGGGTCACTGGTGTTCATTGGTGATGTCACAGCTAATAGAAGCAGCAGGATGAGTTCTGAGGTGTTTAAACCCCATCTGCTCAGAATCAGCATAATGCTGCAAAACTGATTGAAGGGTGCTTCACAGTGCAGATGGATAACGACCTAAAACATACTGTGAACACAACCCAAGAGCTTCTCAAGGCAAAGGAATGGAATATTCTTCAATGGTCAAGTGATCACAACCCAAGTGAGCAGGCTTTTCACTTTCTGAAGATAAAACTGAGGGCAGAAAGACCCACAAACAGCAGCTGAAGGAGGCTGCAGCAAAGCATCTCAAGGGAGGAAACTCACCGTTTCTGGTGATGTCTGAGGGAGCCAGACTTCAGGCACTCATTGACTGCAAATGATTTTCCTCCAAGTATTAAAAATAATAATTATGTTGGTTTGTCCAATTACTTTTGAGCCTCTGAAAATGTGGGGGACTGCATAGAAATGGCTGTAATTCCTAAACGGTTAATGTGATATTTTTGTTCTATCCATTGAATTAAAGCTGAAAGTCTACACTTCGACCACATATTGACTGCTTCCTTTCAAATCCATTGGAGTCGTGTAAAGAGGCAAAATTAGAAAAATTGTGTCACAGTCCAAATGCTTCTGGTCCTGACTGTACAGCTTTTAGTTTTTGCTGCTTTAAATGTCCCACTTTATTTGCTGAAGTGACATTAAAATACATAATTTAAAAAGCTGCAGCCTGCAGGGACTGGGAGAGGGGAGTCAAATGTCCATGCGGTGGCGGCGGGTCTCTAAATTGAAGAAAATTATTAATTCGGTTAATTCCCGTGGCTTGTGAGTAACGTGTGCGTCATGTGTAATGTGTGTGTTTTGTGTGTGAAGCGTACCTGACACTTGGATAGCCTACATTTCTCTTTGTGGAGAGCTCATGTCTCTTTCACTATAAGGGTCATACCACCACTACCTATGACATTTACACCAAGGTCTTATTTTATCATAATAACTGGGTTGTCCATTACCTCGTGAAAGCCGAGAGAGAGAGAGTGAGTGTGTGTGTGTGTGTGTGAGTGAGCGAGTGAGAGTAATCCTGTGTGGCCTCACCTCTTCTTCCCAGAGTACCACTCGATGAAGAACCAGTGCAGCACGAGGGGTAGCATGGCCATGAAGCCCAGATAGAGCCAGTCGTACAGCTCAGGGGACTCGGTGCAGCGTTCACACACATTCTGGAGGTTGGCTCGCTCTCCGCGAGGACAAACCTGGCAGCAGACAGAGATGCTGGGATTATTTTCTCTTCCTAAAGTAGACATAATGTGGAGATAATTGATCTGCCAGTTCTATATAAGACCTGCCAGTTCTTTGCATCAAAGCTACGTTTAATCCCCTCCCTCCTGTCAACGGTGCAGACCGATTTTGCGAGTCCAACTGAAGGTGGAGCTAGAGCTGCCACAAGCAGTTCCAAAACAATTACATATACATATATACAATTACATATACATATATACATACGTATACATACGTATACATACATACATACATACATACATACGTATACATACATACATACACATACATACGTATATATACATACACATACATACGTATACATACATACACATACATATGTATACATACATACGTATACATATACATACATACATATACATACATACATACGTATACATATACATACATACGTATACATATACATACATACATATACATACATATATATATGTATATATATACATATACATACATATACATATGTATATATATACATATACATACATATACATACATATACATACATACATACATACATACATACATACATACATACATATACATACATACATACATATATATACATACATATATATACATACATATATATATACATACATATATACACATACATATATATACATACATATA